GACACGGGACACCTCCAACATGAAGTCTCCCGAGTCCATCTTATACCTATAGCTATAGTCAGTTGGACTTGACCAAGGCATCTGTAGACTTGGTTGGCAACTCCGACTGGCAAGTCTGGCCATAGAGAAGTCGTGGACCAGTGAGACCTAGCCTTGACTGCTCACAGGACCGGGCCGGCGTCAAGGCGTTTAGGAATTCGTTGCGACTCGCCAGCTCCTTTTGATGCCGCTCATTAAGGCCCCTGTGCTGTTGTTCTGCTGTGAGCCATTGCCGTAATGGCAGTCCGGGCTCCGGGGACCACCTGTAGAGTGTTGCTTGGTTGTTCAGGCTGGAGGACAGGTACGGTATGCCTCCCTCGCTGAGGTTGCGGCGGCTTTGCTCAGGGGCAGGTGGTTAGATCGGAGTGAAACGAACTACCTCTTGATGATTCGAACCCTACCCCGTCCGATATCCCCATATATCCCACTTCGACAAGAACACTTCCCTCTTTCCCACTCAAACTTCACCTCGGGTATCCAAGGGGCTTTGTCACTTCCTCGAAACATTGGGCTAGATTGGGGGTACTGTTCGACTTGAGGTTTTACTGCCGTTCGTCTTTCTTAAAGAAGCTACCCCAAGGCCCAAGGACGAAATATGAGGTGGGAGACTTTATTTTGACTTGGCCTGCCATGTCCTATTGACTCGTCGTCTCCTCAAGCGTCAGGCGAGTACAGTCCCCATAGGGCATTGATGTACCGCACCATTGGTTGTTCGTCAACGTAGGATGTTCAGGCAGGTTCTCCGTCCTTATATGCGTGCAGTCCATACATCAATGTGGTTTCGAGAATCAGGAATAATCCACGAGCAGTCTGTGGGCCGTGATCTGGTGTCGATATCGTGATCTTTTTGTGTGAAATTCGGTAACCGTCGTGGTGGGCCATTGTCTTTGAACTCGAGAATGGCGGTCTCTGTTATAGCCCTAGATTCTTGGGTGTGAGCTGGGAGGTTGGTCTGTTTTGCCACCAAAGTGTAGGTATTGTTGGGTGTTGCCCCGGGTTCTGGTGTTCGCGGATCAAAGTCAACGGCGCACCTGTACAGGTAACTCTACCACGCTGTCCCCTGCTACTTTAACCCCAATGCTGTATTGTCTCCCATAATGCCATGGTGGTCCCACTCAAGGCTTTGGCCAGGCTACAGCTAACGCATGCCTTTGCCCAGGCTACAGCTAACGCCTTTGACCAGGCTGGCGGCGAGGCACCTCCGGTAAGCAGCTGCTGTTCAGCAGCGCGAGGAGAGCGGCGACGGTGAGGAGGGGACACCGCGACTTTGGCCAACATGAACAGAGGTCCGGCGGAGACCTACTTCAGTTATGGGACTCCTTGTCCAGTCGACATAGGATCAGTGGGCCGGGCTACAGCATACGACCAAAGCTCTTGTGTTCCAAGGCAGAACTCATAGCTGGGTTGTACCCACCAATCCGGTCCCTTGATTTGGGGTGCGGCCAATGTTAAGGTGTCTGATATAGCCGGGAGGTTGGGCAGGCTGGACGGGACCTGTGCCGAGGCTCCCGACTGGAGGGCACCGGGCTGCAGCGCCGCGTGTCCGGCACAATGGGTGATGCCAGCTACTGGGTTGGAGCCGGTGTGCCTGTGCCGATGTATATGAAGGGTGGTGCATTATATTGGCCTGGTATTTGCCAGGATGAGAAGATATAGGAGGCGGGCGGATAAACCTAACCAGAGACGTTCAGTGATGGAATTAATGATGTTAAAAGTTGGAGCGTGTGTCGCGGTTGGATCGTTACTACATGTGTTATCTGGCTGGTCAGGTACGGTGATGGCCTTCGCCATCGTTCACGGTGTTGCGCCAGGATGTGATGTGATGTGATGCCCTTAGCAGGCGCAAATATCAATGATGCTTCTGTACCGGCTGTGTTCCATTCTTGGATGAGCCGGTGACGCCCCTTCATCAGGCACTGAGATCTGGAACGAGGGAAGGAGATGGGTCTGAGATGCGTGTACTGAGCCTCTCTTTATATTTGCCCAAAACATGTCTCTGGATTCGTCAAACCACAGTTGATTGGCAGCTTGGGTAACCGTGAGATCAACTGTCACACTGTGAACTGTGGCTAGCTTTTGTGTGTCTTGATGGACCAAAGACACAAGTTTGACCTAAAAGGGTCGTTTTTGTTTGGATCGCCGTGGCATTCAGACCCCATCGTTTTGGAGACACCAGTTCTCGTCGTTAGGTTACCCCCAGCAGCGGGCAAGCTCCAATGGGGTAGCACTTCAAAAGCAAGCAACATCAGCAGCCTCCCAGCGAGCTCAAATCTTCATCATCTTGTATTTGACTACCGCTACGTCAGACCATTTCCTTTTTCTCTTTGGCCAGCGGATAGGTAAAACAACTCACACTACCACTCCCTAGTTTCCTCGTTCTATCTTCCATTCAATAAGGCAGGCCCCATTTCTCTCTCTCATACGGAGTGTACGAGGACCTCCGCCGAAGGTTCTCGGACCGTCTCGGCATCCCATACTCACTCTCCGATCCGTAGTTATCCTTACCTGGGCCGCTCCCCAAACCCATATGAGCTCGTTTCTCCATTCGCCATTTTTCACCAACAGACAAAGAAGGTAGCTCGCCCTGGAAGCTTGCGCCCGGCAGAGCCGACATGCCATGTCCACTGAACCTGGATACCCAACGGAAGACTGCTCCAAGATCGCCGGTGAAGAGAAATCCGAGGAAGAGAACGGCTGCGGTGACTGGAATTGCAACGGCCCAATAAGCCCATTGCCCAACTTCCATGTCGCGGATGTCACTGGTGTTCATGCCAAAGATGCTCGAGACGGCCGAGAGAGGCAGGAAGATAATGGTGACTACCGTGAAGGCGTATATGAGGCGTTCTTGCCGATCCTTCTTGACGTCCACTTTGTTACGATTCTGGGAGACAACTTGTTAGTATCTTGACTGGACACATAACCTGAAACGAGAAGGAAGAAGAACATACCATGACCCTCAAGTGATTGGAGTGAAGCTCGTACTCCTCAAATTCCCGCTCGCGTTGGTCAAGTTGCAGGATACACTCGTTGAGGAACAGTTGACGGAAGCCGCCCGGATCTCGTGCAGAGAGCTGCTTCGATTCATCTGCCATGGAGCCAGAGACATCTTCCACGTAGAAAGGTGGAGGCTCGGGGTAATGTCCATAGCCCTGCTTGCCATAGCCGTGTGCCGACTTCAATCGCCCTTGATCGTAGCCATGATCGTACTGCCTATGCATATTTGGCACCATCCCTGGAGCATTTCGCGGGGCTCCTGAGTAGTATCCCGCGTTTGGTGGTACTGGTATGACTCCCACCCGGGAACGGGCCGACGCTGGCATTTTGTAAGCAGACTGTTGGCTATATCTTTCCAAACGCTCGAAGATGTCACGTTGCGACCTGAGGGTACTCTGTACTACAGAGAGCTCTTGATCAAGTAGGTCGAGTCGCTGTTCGTGTGATCGGTCGGATTGCTTGCCGGTGATATCCGCTTCCTGTTCATTGTAGTGGTTAGTATCAGCCATCACTTTCGCAAGGACACCAAATATTTCTGGACTTACAATGGCACTCAAGTACGCAGAGTATGTCTGGCTGATGTTCGGTAACCCAGGAGTAACGTCCGTGAGAAGCTTCATACTCATCAATGAGACCAGCTCTTGGGGAAGAATGATGGACTTCTCAAAAAGGGGCTTCTTAGCCATGTCTTTAACAATGGCATTGAGACCCTGGCTTATAAGAGGCTTAGCATGAAAATCCAGGAAGCTTGATGCTCTCTCCGGATCCGATGACATGTACGAGAGTCCTAGAAGAAGATGGAGCCAGCCATCAATGAGTTGGTCAGGTACGTGGATCTGAACACGATCCGCATGTTGCGCATGCACAAATGTCTCCGTGAAGTAGAGTATCATGCCTGCAAGCTCCTTGAGCACAGCTCGTAATTGGTATCGATCATCGGCCACGCCCTCATCATTCTGCTACGGTAACCATCAGCATATCGCTTGTTGAATATTAGGCGCAATGTCAGCTTAGAACACACCTTGACTTGATTATCCACAGCACCCCAAAACTTGGATGCCATGGGAGTTTCGGTTGTGACAGGAAGGAAGAACCTGAAGATCATGTCGGCCAAGTTGAATATGTCGGCCCTTATTTCGTAATCCTGGGGGTTGGATGAGCGTATCCTCTTTTCAGGGTGGACTATTTCAAGCTCCTCCTTTTGAAGCATATGATAGATCGAGAGGCGGTTCGAAGTTGGGCAGCGCTTGTATGCACGTTGGTCACTGACACTCGTCTCGTGCAACAGGATTGTTTCTATCTCATTAAGACGCTCGTCGAGTTTGGCTTCGTCAATGCTTTTCTCGGTGGACAGCGGGACGTCATCGAGGCATGTGAAAAGTGCAAAAGAGGAAGTGGGGTGTTGCTCAGAGGCTTTTGGGGAACTGGGTGTTGTTGTTGACTTTGGCGTAGGGGGTCGTAGGTCTTTGGTCCTCCTTGCCTTATCATCCACGGTTTCTTTCTTGGAGCTAGTCGCTTTGCTGTTTTTGGGTTCATCTGTTTCCGTCGCCTCAGTCTGCTGGGATTGCGGCTCGATTGGCACGAGTCTCCCAGGTGTCGGAAGCTTAGGCGTCGGCCTGTGATTGCCGAGTTAGTGGTAGTTTCAGCATCGTCATCGAGCACAGAGGCCAGGTATACGCACCCAAGCTCAAGATCAAAGGAAATTGTATGCGAGTGCTTCTGACTTGCTGAAGCCCAGATTTTCGGCCAGTCCTCCGGGCTGACGAGACGCTTGTTACGGTAGAAGCAGAGGGGCAGATGCCAGAACTCCCAGAAATGGGAAACGAAGTCCTACGAAGCAGCGGTTAGCGAGCAGGAAAACGTAAGGAGGCTCATCCATGTGTAAACACAACACTCACAAACCAAGTCATGCAATCCTTTACCGCCAAAGTCCACATAACATTGCCCCCGAATCGGATCCAGAACTTTTGCTGGGATTGCTCCTCGGAAAGACTGCTCACGGCTTTGACCAACTTCGTAATGGAGTTGCCACGTAGCACATCCTCTGACATTCTGCCGTACGTGATAACAAATGCTGGAGAACACCTGTCAGCAAGGACCCTATGACCGGCGCAACACCTACTGCGCAAATTGGAAGTGAGAAGCCGTACTGTTGTTTATGATGATGCACCAAAGCTGCGAAATGTGAAAGCAGAGACCTGGGCCAGCCTTGGCAACTTGTCGTACTGCTTGTTGCATGTCGCGTTCTTTGGCAGCCCGAGAGAATTGGGCCTGGAGTAAGGTTTGGATTGGAAACATTGATGAGTTTTCGGTACCAGACAGGAGGCCAGAGTATGGCTCGAGGCTGAAGTATGGCAGGCAAAGCCAGGTCACGCCCCGGGTAGTACGCGTTTTTCCACCAACACCGCTATCGTGGGGTAAAGCGTAATCGAAACAGCCCGGTTCCATGTGCTGTACAGGCTTGCCGCTCAAGGTCTGAATCAACTTGACAGATGACTGTTTGAGACGAAAGAGGATATCGTTGACAGCCTTCCGTTCAGTGCCGGTCAGGACGGAGAGGCGTGCGATCTGGTTCTGATCCTTTTTGTTAGCTGAAAGTTGTGACTCTCCGTCCAGTGGGCGCTCACCGAAAGGTCCTCCAAGGACATTGAGGGTCGAGTGAGATGCCTATCCGCAATGGTCAGCCACCTAAGTTTGTTACCTCGCATGAAGCAGATACCTTACATCCAACGATACAGTGGCTGAAGATGCCGTAGCTGGGCTGGGTTTGCAGCCATCAGCAAGTCAGCTGAGTGGTGGCCTTCGGCAGCCGTGTATCCTTCGCCAGTATACGACGAAGCAAGAATGTGGGCTACTTCTGGATTCTGATCGTCCTTTGGTAATGGTTGGCTCGGTGTTACATCCACATCCTCGCTCTGCTCCCCGTCTGCTGAGCCTCCAATCGATGCCGCTCTTGCTGCCCGGAAAGACGCAGCGAAGGAGTAAGCAGAAGACCCAGACTCTTCCGTGACTAGGGCCGGCGTAGTCCGGAATTTTGAAGACCCATAACTCCTGACAGTCGAGGCTCCCCTGATAGACCTGTAGGCACCATCTACGGTGGAATTGGATCGTGACTCGTCGCTCCCATCCTGATCCGAGTCATCGTGTTCCTCATGTTGTGACAAGGTCTTGGCAGTATCCGCAAGTTGTCGTTGTATCTTTTGTAACTTCTGTATCTTTTGTTTCATTTGTTCCCGCGATAGGGGCACCGGCGAGTACTCATCGATATCATCGAGGACACCGTCATCGCTGTCCTTCTCGAACTTGACGGTCTTGTGCCGACGCTTCTGGTTGTGTCCGGTGGGAGAAGAGGCAGGTGTTGGGGATGCTGAGCGTCTAAGGTTTCTCCTGACAGGCTGATAGGCGGGACGAGAGAAGGTATCTCCAGGTCCGTAGAAGCCGCCTGGAGGGGTTGCCCAGGTGTCGTAGGGAGCAACCAAGGGTACGGGTGATGGACCCTGCTGAGCTGATTGGATGTCCTCGTTGTATGGCTCAAAATGGGCATGTTGAGCTGCCCGTCCTGGGCCGTGAGGGCCGGATACTGGAGGATAGGCGGCTGTTGATTGAGGAACGGGATAGTGCGGGACCGAATAAGGCATCATATAAGGGTTGTATCCGGATGATGGAGGGTAGGTGGGCTGAGGTGGTTCCCGGGGCCACGACGGCGCCCGTGCTGGTTGGGATGAATCATCTTGTTGTTGATACGGCTGCTCTGGAAAGGTGTGACTGCGGCGAGGAGGTATGGAAAATTTCGGTGGATCTTCATCGCGAGGAGCTGGAGCTGGAGCTGGAGCTGGTGAAGGTGGTTGCGACATGTTGGTGGTGCGGCCGCGTGCAGAACAATGACATTGTGCTGCAGCAAGACCCCTTGACGGATTGGAGTATGAAGGCCGTTGCGCGCACCGAGGGTAGTGTAGATATGTCAAGTATCAAAGATCGGATGGCGTTGGAATCTGAAATCTCAGCTGAACCTTCAGATGAAGCGGATGACATGAGCTGAAAAGGCCACACCGTTGTTAAGTCGCGACGACGGTTGAGGACGCAGGCTGTGTTACCCAAAATCTTCGACCACCCTCACCATCCCATTCAAGCTAGTGCTGCGCCAAGCAAACGATGCAGCATCCGCGATCCCAGCCAATGAGTCTGTCGTACTTCCTCCAAAGGATCAACTGGTATGCTTTCCCAACCACCCAGAAAACCGCGTGATGAAAATGAGATGTTGAACATAGTGACAGGAGGTTCAACGATCAATTAGACGAAGTTCGCCGACTTGGGTTGGATGTTGCGGTCCCACCAAGTGGAAGCACCCGGCCGATGGAGCGTTGTTGGCGGCTTTTACGCGAGGCCTGAGTTGCGCCAGGAAATTGGCTTATCAAGCCTGGACAAGAAATGGCAACATCTAAATCAACTCTTCAACCAAACGCGCTCACGGTCAATTAACAGCGAACCTGAAAACTTGATAAAAACAATGGGAGTTGGCTTCTAGCTCCTCTAGGCAATTTGGGAAGCTTTTGGGGCGAATGCAAGACGACCTGTAGAGTGCAACTTTTGAGTGTCTCGAGTGATGGCAACTGCCATTCCAAATTCCTGTTCCCAGTGTGCGACTGGCGTCCCTGCAACACCAGGTCCGGCGCAACAACATAAGGTATCACCATCTGCTCAGTGACCAAAGAGCATTATCGCTAATATGGACCAAACTCCCAATCGACCCAAGTGACTTTACACCCCGACCGAACACCTAAGCATCAAACGGCTTCCTCCCATAAACAGTAGTCAAAGGAAAGTAAGTATGGAAACTCCCATCCATCACCGCCTTTCTCACATCGGCCAGAAACAACTCAATCTGCGTCGGCGTCAACCCGATAGCCTGGAACGGCCTGCTGCACAATCCCTTCAAGCCATCCATAACTGCCGTTCGCCAAAACAGACCGCAAAGTCGAAGCTTCTTATCCGCCGGCCAAAGCCCAAGGGCAGCTTCTTGGTGTATCTCGGTGACATCCTCGAACCCAGCCTCTCGCATCTCCTGAGAAGCCTTTTGGATGGCGCTGATGTCGGTCACCCCATGGGCTTTGAGACCCGGCTTTCCGAGGTACCTTGAGATAGGTCACGGACGGCGTAATTGGAGTGTCGGGTTTGGTAGTGTGATCATCGTAACGTGGATAGCTTGGCATCGATTTCTTGAACTTTCGAAGTAACCGCCTGGCTTGAGGTGTCTAAGGACAGGTCGAGTTAGCGAGATGTTGCGCCAAGAGAAGAAGAGAGAAGAAGTGAGGGATGGTGAAAACTTACCGCAAAACACGTTCCATGAGTGACTTCCTATCCTTGAGAGTATGTAGTGCGAAGCGCAGGTGGATGTAATCGTACTTGTTCTCCGGGTCCACCCATTCGTCTTCGATGTCGTCGACGAAGAAGCGCACGTTTTCTGGGACGAAGCTGGGCTGGATGGGTGACAGGTCGACGCCTGTTATGACTGCATCGGGGTACTCTTCGGCCACTGTCAAATTGGTGTTAGCAACGAGATTTTGGTGCCCTGGTTCATGGTGAAGCACTTACACTGCATGGGCCAGATCCCAGTACCAGTTCCCAAGTCAAGGACCTGGCCACCATCTTCCAATGCCTCCTCGACGGGAGCCAAGAAGGATTGCCCGTCACAGAGCATCATGGACATGGTATGCTTGACCTCCTCACGTCTCTGCTCGTTCTCGTCGTTGGGATACGCATATTTTCCTGCATGATAGGCGTGGTAGCGTAAGCCATCCTCGTAGACATGGCCTCGGATCGAGTCGGTGATGGAGCTGCAGCAATCGCTCTCGTCCGAGTCATTGAACTCAAATGGGCAATCGTCATATTCAAAATCTTCCTGGCAGTTTTCGGATGGATCTTCCGGGTATGAGGGTGAGCTTATGCGTCCGGCCTGTGCTCCTGAGCTGCCCCATCCCGCGGCTGTCCAGAAATCGTTTTCTGGTGTTGAGTGTGGGATCATATGGTGAGACGCTGCCGGTGCTGAGCAGGAGTAAAGATGTATTGACGAGTTATAGTTTCCGAAATCCATGTTTGTTAGAAGTGATAAGCAAATATCTAAAAGGCTTTGTGGTTGAATGATGAGGAGAGAGGGATCAGTGGCACCGATGGGACGAGAGGGACTCAGATATTATAGACATCCTGATCCATGTAGAGGAGGTAGCCAGCGGGAGATCCCCCAACCCAACGATTTCGAAAGCCTTGGGCCTCGTCGGATCCGAACATGGTGCAATGTTTGTTGAGACGCAAATAAAGGTCGAGACAGCGAGCGACCGAGCAAGGGACAGAAGATCGCAATGATAAATTTGGTGACTACCCTGTAGTTACATGGTTTCATGATTGGGCAATCTTGACTAGTGTCTACCCCATACCAAACCCTCGGGTCGGGAGCCAGGGGCAAGCGACTGCAGGTACAGGCAACATTGTGAACAGGAAGCTGGCGACGACGCCGGAAAGTCTCCCGTAGCTTTTGAGTTTCGACAGCTTACACCGGATAACTGGGCCGGAAGATGATGCCTTGGTCCCCGGGAAAATGAAAAGGCACATCTGCGAATTCCATGTGACGAGCGGTTTTCCCGCGTTTCCTCCGAGATCCACATGTGTTCAACGGCTTAACAAACTGGATCGAGGCCATGGGGATCCCGCAACAAAGCAGTTCACTGTATCAGCAGTCGCGTTCTTTCGGGGTTGCAAATCGGTCTGGTCCATCTTCAAGATCGCAAACTGTATGTGCAGTGCTCGTGACCAGATGTGGCTGTCTATGGGTATCTCTTGAGGTTCTCCTCATTGGACTGACTTCACTCATGACTTGGGATTGGAAGGGGATTTCCGGTGTGGTTGGAAGTGTTTACTAAACAAGCCCACTGCTTAACATGTACCTAGCGAGAGATTGGAGGAGGTCAAACAGACTGGAACGGAAAGGCTGCGATGATGGCCATCGTGCTTTGGCAACAGGTGAAGGATTTGACCGCCAGGATGAAGGATGAATTGATGTCCAGGGACTGAGTGTGATGAGACAACAGAGAACGAGAAGGAGATTCGAATGCTTCACATTGATGAGCATGTCATACGATCAGTCGACGAGCTGCTTGACGTCGCGACGAAGCGAGCTCCAAGAGAGCAACATCGAAGGCCGGAAGAGGAAGGTGTGTTGGGTGAGTTGAAGCGAAGAAATGGAATTTAAGATTTGGAATTCGTCACTGGGAAAAGTCTCCGCTCTGTGACTCCGGGGCATCCGTTCGTGGCCCGTAGCGCTTTCCCGACAGCGTGGGCCGCTGGGATTAGGTAACTTGACGAGTGGATCAAGGCCCTGGAGGAATGGATTTCAGTGGAGTTTTGACCCAACGAACGCTGGAGCCCGATGTCAGGAACCGCCCAGGCAACCCCCGGCCGACCTTACCTCTTTTTCCACTTTTCATCTTCGGGTCCGGGGCCTCCGATCACATTCCGGTCGCCCCGGTCCCGACTTCGAATCATCAGCTCGTTTCTTGGCGCCAAAATGATCAGTCGTTTCTCAAGATCTCGCTCAAACTTCAACCACTTTAACAGTTCGTCCTTTCTCTACACGGTCAGCCCTGCACTCTGCTCTATCTTTAGCTGGGGGGCGCTCGATGATCCCCTCGTTCCTCAAGGCACATGACAACACCGAAGCTTTACATGACCTTACTATCGACTCTCTTCCGAATAGGGTCACCGAACAAATAAAGTGTTTGTGCGGACTTTCTCACGACTTCCTCTAGAAAACCTGTCTTTTTGCGCGATAGCGTTCGGGGTACGCATACCGCTCGATTTGGAGCTCCAAGTGGAGCCTGGGGAGCTATTTCCAGCTCCAAGTTTGTATCTAAGAATCAACCCGTAAGCGAGCCAACGACATGATCTTTGAAGACGACAAATCCACAGGAATCTCAATGTCGACATGACTTTTGTTCGTAACGATAATGATCGACAGGAAAGGAGCGGACCGCGGGTGGAGTGTGGGTGACGGGAAGGCCCAAAAGCCCCCATCGTTTGGTGGAGATAAGCGCTACGGGATGAACTCCGTGGGGTTGATAGGCCCATCATAGGGGTCCAGTGTTCAGCTTGGTACGTCAGCTGTCTCACGACATGGAGTTTCTCTTCAGCTTGGAAGAGTTGGCATGCGACTGACGGGAATGGTAACTTGCAGAAAAACATAGGCAATAAGACTGCCTCTTCTTTTCAACAAGAGAAATTCTCCAATACCAGTTACCTTATCGTCCAAGAAATTATCCAACAATGGACGAACGCGCCAAGATCCGAGTCACTCTTCCTCGAGAGAACCCAACCTCCAGCTACTGGCAAGATCCTCTCGATGACATTGCCGACCAGCGTACCACCAAGGACCTCCCAGACCGTGCCGACATCGTCATTATCGGAAGCGGCATTACCGGCGCTGCGATAGCATGGAACCTCCTGAAAGATGTCAAACCTGGGGAAACGGGGCCCAGAAACATAGTCATGCTTGAAGCCCGCCAGGCCTGCTCCGGCGCAACCGGTCGCAACGGTGGACACACCAAAGCCGCCTCCTACCGCTCCTTTCTCGAGCACGCCTCACTCCTCGGCACTCCTGCCGCCGTACAAATCGCCCGACTCGAGTACGACAACATCCAAGCCGTCCACGCCTTTGCTAAAGAGCACAACATACCTTGCGACTCCAACCCCTGCCACACCATCGACATTATCTACTCTGAAACCCAATGGACCGCCGCCCACGAAGCCGTCTCCGCCATGAAGGCCGCTTTCCCCACTGGGGATCCAGTAGCAGAATACACCTTCCACTCCCCCGCCGAGGTCCAGTCCAAATTCCACTGCGCCCTCGACGCCGGCACCGTAGCTGCATGTGGCCAAACACAAACGTTGTATGGAGGCGTCTCCTACCCAGCCGGCAGCATCTCCTCGTACGCCTTCACCACCGGCCTCCTCAAGCTCTGCCTATCCCGCGGCCTAAACCTGCAAACCAACACGCCTGCCACCTCGCTGATGAAAAACCGAGACGAGCGCACCTGGACCGTCCAAACCCCTCGCGGCAACATCTGGACCAGGGACATCATCCTCGCCACGAACGGGTACACGGCCGCCATCGCGCCCACTTTTCAGGGTGTCATCGTCCCCCTGCGTGGACAGGTCACGGCACAAAGGCCCGGAAGCAAGATTCCCGAGAAGGGGTGTCTGCCGACTACGTACAGCTTTATTTACGATAAGGGGTACGAGTACATGATTCCGCGACCAAAGGGTAGTCGAAACGAGGGCGACTTGGTTATTGGCGGTGGGCTGGTGAAGGCTAAGGAGGACGGATTAGAGGAGTATGGGACTACGGATGATACCACGGTCAATGAGGAGATCAGTCGTTACTTGGCGGACACGCTGACGAGGTACTTTGGTGGTGGTGACGGAAAGGGGAACTGGGGAGAGGATCACCCAGATGGAAGAGTAAGAAATGAGTGGACGGGAGTAAGAAATGAGTGGACGGGGATCATGGGGTATACACCTGATGGGTTCCCCATGGTCGGAGCGGTACCGGGGGATAACGGGTTCTGGATGAGTTGTAGTTTCCAGGGGCATGGCATGGTGTTGTGCTGGATGTGCGCGAAGGCGTTGGTGGAGATGATGGAGGGGAGGGATAACGAGGAGTTGAAGGGGTGGTTCCCAGAGGTGTTTAGGGTTGGGTTTGAGAGAATGAGGAAGAAGTTCCTGGGTAGGTTGCATACGAGCGTTGCGGTGCCACCGGGGCCGCCGGTTGGAGGGGAGTCTAGGTAAAAGGCATGAGATGGGTTGACCGCATATGATGGAGATTTTGGATTTTATGATCATGAACAGACAGGTTGCCGTTCAGGAAGCTATGCGCACACAATGCCCTTTCTTTCTGGTCTTCATTTACCTGCAGCAGCGACTCAAGATTCACCTGGCGCCTTGTCAGAAATCGGTTGTGGCTGGCTTCTTGATCGAGTCTGCCACAAATTGTCACTTACCCTGCACTTCTTTGTTGCCAACTGCCAACCACACCATTGAGGGAATCCAACCGTTCGATCACTTCTCAATGGCGCTCAAGGTAAAACAGAATCCGAGGACGCTGGCCAAATCGGTATTTAGAACGCAATTGCATGATGATCAATTGTTCAAGTAACGACTACGTCTGGTCTGGTAGTGTTCCTATCTCGCTTTAAGCGGTACCTCGTTCCTCTCATCGGAATGCTTCTGCCCTCTTTTCCCGACCATACCAAGGCAACCGTCGAATATCCCTCTCCCTCACAGCAAATGCGAGGTACCCTTCTCCCCCTCCAGCGCCGCCAACCCCTTCCAATGCACCTTCACGCCTCCCCAGCTATGCTCATTATAATCCTCCTGGACCTTCTGGCAAGTCTTGAGGCCCCAATCCGTCACGCCCACCATCAAGCAGCTCTCAAACATGAACGCACAGCTTCCCTCCCCGACCTTCATCGGTTTTAGATCAGCGTTCCTCGCCCCCTCATAACTCGCCGCGTCAGGTCCATGACCGCTCATAACATTATGCAAACTGGCTCCTCCCGGAACAAACCCGCCCTTGCCGCCCTTCTTCGCATCATACGCCCCCGTGATCAAGCCCATGAACTCGCTCATCGTGTTCCTATGGTACCACGGCGGACGGAAGGTATCCTCGCCCACCAGCCAGCGCGGCGGGAAAATAACAAAGTCAGCGATAGCTGTGCCCACATGGTCCGAGGGCCCTGTGAGGACCGTGAAGATGGACGGGTCCGGGTGGTCAAAGCTGATGGAGCCAATGGTGTTGAACCGTCCCAGGTCGTATTTGTAAGGGTAATAATTCCCGTGCCAAGCGACCACGTTGAAGGGGGTATGCGGCTGTTTGGTTTCGAAAAGCGTGTTATTGAACTTGGCGGTGATGGTGTAACTGTTAGGTCCATCAAGCGCGATGGAGCCGTGGTCTTCGCTGAAGCAGGCCAGGGGCGCTTGGAAGTCGCGCGCGTTGGCCAGCCCGTTGGATCCGATGGGACCCAGCTCGGGAAGCTGGAAGTGGCCCTGGTAGAGCTCCAGGGCGTAGCCGCGCACGGGACCCGAGGGGAGAAGGACTTGGTAGCGCACGCCGCGCGGGATGACGGCGATTTCCATGGGCCGGACTAGCAGCCAGCCGAACTCGGTGCGGATGTCGAGCACGCCGTCTTGCGCGACGATGAGCAAGTCACCGTCGGCGGAGTAGAAGGCTGAGTGGGCGTCCATGGATTTTCCAGCCGCGTAGACGTACATGCCCAGCCCTTGCTTGAGCGTGGGGTCGCCGGCGCCGGCGACGAGACGTAGGCCGGAGACAAAATCGGTGTCGGACTCGTGGTCGAAGGGGTCCCACCGGAGTTGGTTGGGGATGTAGTGAAGCTTGGAGGGGGATTGCTCGAGGACAGGCTCCTGGACGTTCTTAGCCGGCGTGGCATCGACGAAGGGCGGGTGTGAGCACGAGGGGAGGATGCGGTAGAGCCATGATTGCTTGTTCTCGTGGCGAGGAGCTGTAAAGGCGGTTCCGGAGAGCTTTTCGGCGTAGAGGCCGAGGGGAGGCTTCTGAGGAGAGTTGTGGCCAATGGGGAGAGCGCCAGAGACGGCTTCGGATCTGGGACGCCGAGTTAGTAGAGTGTAAGAGCTGGACAGTGGAGAGGGGATGGTGCTTACTCTAGGTAGGAATCAAAGCCATTCTGGTACCGGTACTTTTCCTTGAACTCAAAGTTGGTGACTGGCATCGTCACGGTCCGCTATGCTCCAGAGTATATATCGGTGTCTTGGGGTATCAATTGGCTCGAGAAGTATGAATGTTGTTGTAACTTGATGCTGTATACTTCCAAAGGAGAGTCAAGGACAGAGCAGAAGAAGAAGAAGAAGGAGGAGGAGGACTTGGAAGAAAGTAATATCTCTGATAGACAAACAAAGTCCAGCAAACCCATCCATCTTTTCTATTGCCGTTCCCCGAGGTAGCACTGCTACTTCTAGTCTTCGTCATTGTCCCGCCGCGCGGTCCTCCTTGTGCCTCGATGCATGGTTCATGTTCTCGAAGTTCCCAAATTCCGCCCGTCCAAGACCGCAATGCAGGACCGCCAGTAGCCGAAGGTATGCGTCTCCAAATCGCGGCCCGTGGGCAGGGTCTCTCTAAACCCGGGGAAGACCTTCTCCACGTGATCCTCGTCCCCACTGGTTTCCCGAGCTCCACAAGAGCAAGGGCAGCTCCTCCATTGGCCCCGCTTCCCCAGAAGCACTGAGCAAGGCCCGAGGTTTGTGTTTGTCGGCTTCGGTTCCATTTCTTGCAATTTCATCCGTCTCGATTCTTCTTTCTATCCTCCTTTTGCTTCCACCGAACAGGGTGGATAACTTTCCGGCGACACCGACAACACATCAACCTAAACAGCTGCGACAACGAGCATCTGGAAACTTGACCAACATCAGAACTTCGGATAGGGAGAGATGGAGAGGTCTTCGGACTCACCAATGGAAGGAACATGAGGCTTTTGTGAAGGGAACAGCAGGCTCATAGGTACCGGACAGACTCGCGAATATCAGAATCGGCTTATGCAGGAAACGTAGTCTTGGAGATCTGTTCTTGGTGGTTTTGGCGGCATGACAGATCATGTACCTACGTGGTCAGGCGCTCCAACCCTGCATCCCGAATCTCGGTCTCGCGAGTCTTTACGGTCCGCTCTTTGCCGGTTTCCTCTTCTCTGATTTTCTGAGCCTCCAGCCATTGCTCCGTATTTCCTTCAAGGGTCGAGGATGTTCATCCGCCGTCTAGAAGGGGCACGGTTTAGACCCGACATCTGATGTTGATCAGTGGGCACATCAAGGCATAAGATCAGGTATTGTTGGCATAAAGACTTGGGAATTGTGTATCTCAGCCTCACAGCTGGAAGACCTCAAAGCACCTCAGTGGGCAGAAATGCAAAACACAATGGCATGGAAGCTGCTCATCATGATGACACATAAGAAGCCGTTTTACCAAGGCTGAAAGTGATGTTCATTATCAATAGCATGTCAGACACTGTGTCCGCTGCTCTTGTGTGCGTTAAACCCAGCCAGCTGTTGCCTCAAACCAAAACGACACCGAAAGAAAAAAAAGACGCTGGCGACATGGGGCACCAACCCCAGCCAGCCATCAGGGAATCATTAGTGATACACATTATAGGTCCTGTCATTATCACCATCACCGATGAACCAAAGACCAGGACAGCAGGTGCAGACCAAGTTGAGTCTGGACGAGACTGGGAATGGCTTAAGCGGCCTCTTCCTCGGCGGCGGCAGCCTTCTTCTTCTTCTTGGAGGAGCCGCCGGCGGGCTTCATGGTGCCGGGGTTGGTTGCCAAGTGCACAATGAGTGATGTCCACGACTCCTCCTTGTCCCACTCGAAGCCCCTAAGGTATGGTTCGGGTAGCTCGTCATCCGGCTATGCAACACATCAAAGAGTCAGTCAAAGAAAATTATCTTGCTAACGAACCCGTCAACAGGGGGTGGTCGTCAGAAAAGTCTTACCTTCTTCTTGAACGACTTGTGGATGGCATCCATGGCGTCCCTGATGGTTACGCCCTTGAGGTTCCGTGCTGTTACGTGCAGCCCTGTCTTGAAGTAGAGGTCAATCTTCTTGACTGGCGGTGTTGTGAGCATGACCTTGAGGTACTCCTTGTCGTCTATCGACGTAGGTGAGGTGTTGACCTTCCTGTCATTGGGCAAGAGTGTGAGCCAATGTGTCAAGTCTCGACAATGTCAAGTCAAGACATAGCCTGTGGACTGGATGTGCATGGCAGGACTTACCACCCCAACATCTGCGTCTCCTTGGCAATTTGGAGGTCAATTCCTTGGGTCTCCAGGTCATTGATGTTCATGACGCCATTGGCACTCGAGCTGGCTCGTCGGTGCTTGTGGATGTGGCCCTCCTTTGGAGGTGATGTGGCTTCGAGGCCTTGGACGGCGGAGTCGACCTTGGTGAGTGGTTCGCCCGACATGGTGGTGATGGGTTGGTTGAATCTGGCTACAGATGACTACTGGTGTTCAAGTCGTTTCACAGCTGTATCAAGATATAACAGCTGAAGGGTGATGATGATGATCGATGATGAATAGGATTGGATCTCACGAAGATGGATGCAAATTGGAGAAGTGTCTGTGTGGACAAGGAGAAGAGAAGAGGAGAAGAAGAGGTGTTTGAATCGAGACGGGAACTATGAGGTAGATAAAGGGGGCCGGGACACGAGACGGCAACGGGAGGGGGAAGTTCCAATAATGCGGGAGATGATCCAAGGACTGCCCATTCTCAAGGCAGTTGCGGATGGCGAGCTGGTTTGGTTACAAGAGGGGTCAGAGAGCAGGCAGGCAGGCAAGCAAGCTGCGGGTACATTTCAGAGTAGTCATCACGCGAAGAGAATGAGTGGTGGTTACACTTGTTGGAGGCCGTATAAGTGGTAGGACTGGACGTACCGATCGGTCCGTCGGTCTTCGTCATGAGGGGGTTTGCACGATCAAGCAGGAGGAGCTGGGAGAGTCGAGATTGGAGGGCTCGAGATTGGCTGTTTCCGCTGCATTCGTTCCTGCCTCGCCGGGCGGGGTAGAAGATCACCTGGTTGTGGTGGTGCAGGTGGGTGGTGCAAAGCAGTGCGGTACGGATTCTGAAGGTGGCCGTTTTTGGACGATCGTGTGATGAATACATTATCATGACATGATGGCATAGGGTGATCTGCTAGGACCCGGAGGTACCGGGTCCTTCCCTACCACTTATAACCTCCAAGAGCGCTCTCCAAAGCCTCCAACGGACCTCCAATCAGGGGCATGTTGGGGTGTCGCCAAGCAATCCGGGGAAGTCCCTTGGCGGCTCGACACTTGGACGAAAGCGAACAAGGTCGGCCCACCTCGCTGCGATGGTGCCACTACCCAAAACCACCACGGTGCTATTCCGGGCGGATTAGCGTCATCCTTACGATCTCGAGTGCCGGTGCCGATGAGAGGTCAATGAGATGACAGACGACCTGACCTCGAGCACATAAAGGATGGTCGACACCCGGTGATAATGGATGGATGCTTCGGAGACGAAACTGAATGCCTTACCTTGGTTGAAAATATCCACCGTCATCCAAACTCGAGACAAAGCAGACTGAGCGTACGACCTCAATGCTCAGTCACCCCATCCGATCCGTAACAGCCGTGTCTATCGTCGTCTACCGTCCCGAGCGGGGCTCGTTCCAGCGAGCGGGGGCTGTGGTCTCTCCACCTGACAGGCGGGCCAGGGGCGTCATGGCCCCATCTCCTCATGGCACCCCGGGCCACTATCCGCTTCGATTGAAACCGTTCGTTCGATATCGATGACTGCGACTTCTACGTCTTGAGTCCAGAGCAGCACACAGCAGCCGTCAAGGTCCTCTTCAATCTTGTTCGAAACACTTGCGTGATTTGGACGTTGTGTGAGGGATGAACAGTTGGAGAAGAGGTACACTCACCCAGTAAGTGGTCAACGCTCATTGTTTACCAAGCAGTCATACAGGACTGGAACTGATCGTTTGGATTTACAATGCAGTCCATCCAACAATCCAACTTGCTCACCCATCCTTATTTCATCCAAACGAATCCTCGATGAAGAAGAGGCCGGATAAAAGCTCCAGTCCAGTGACAATGCGGTAGGTTTGGGTTTAGGTTTGTTCCACTGAAGTACCTACAGTTCTCATTGGGCGTCCCGGTGACAATTCAATGCAGTTGCGGCCGCGGCAAAGTGTCTATGCTGCCGCTGATGTTAGTGCATCACTCCCCAGCCTTCATGGCTACCTGACTTTCGCTAGGTAGATTGGACTTGTCGTCCTTTGAGCTTCCATGCGGGCATAAAGTGAGGTGAAAGGTGCCTGCCGTCCGGTTCCGTGCATGACACTGTTACAGCTTCCCCACTTTCGTCCTCACCACATCGACATTCCCAGCAACCGAGCGACTCTTTCCGGATGCCCTGCCCGAATGTTAGAGCTGGGAAATTACTCGGGAATTACATTTTGGTAGGTACTGGCCCGTCTTTCAAGCTTAACCACTACCTAGACAGTTGTCACCGGTCTTCGAGATCCACTCAACCACCACGAGAACGGCAATGGCAACGACGACAAAGATGACAACGGCAACGACAACGGTGTATAGTGCTATTCATTCAGAAAGCCTCATCAACAAACGATACACCAAGAACTCCAAGGGAGCACAGCCCCTTAATATCGACCGCACAACATAGCCAGAACCTTCCAATGAGACCGGCGGTCACACCAAAGGCACGCAACTTGACGCAATGAGGTACGCAGCAGGACTCGGCGAACACTCCAGTCGGAGGCTTCAAGAGGTACATCTCCTAATCACCCCTCTCTCTGTGAACAGAGGAGCCTGACAATAAAGTATCACAGTTTCTTCTCGGCGCATTCCCCGGATGCCCTGTACCCGAACCCAGCGATTATAACAACAACAGACCCCTGGTCGGATCGGGGATCTACGACACTCCCATGACGGGAACGCGGTTTCTGTTCTCGAATTTCTCCTACATTCCCACGGCTTGTCCCAACACGAAATGAGCGCGAATACCCTCCCGAGTGAACCGACTCTGGTGTCAAGGGACATTACACTACCCAGGAACACGGAGGCCCCCACGCAACTACGACTCGCGTTCTTGGTGGTCTGTCATAGCGTAGGATCCTTAGGATATTCCTTCACAGCATTTCCAATCGCTTGTATATGCTGTCTGAGACAATTACGTGGAGGACAGGGCCTCTCCCTTCGTCTCAGAAAAAAAAGAAAATCGACACTCCAACCACGACCCCTGGTGAACCAAGTTCGATAACCTGTCTGTCATCAAGGAAAAGTCACAGGGCCATGATAATTCTTTCATTGCTACAGTGCGCCAATGCCGGGTTTTACCGACCACCAGTAAAGCAATCAGTTATTGCGGTTTCACGCCCACACCACAACCCAACCTCATCAAAGTACTACTCTACGCCAGTTGCAAAATTTGAGTAATGTAGAGGGATAATCCGAATTCCTGTTCATGGACGAGTGATGACTCTTTCAGCACTCGGGATTTTCTGGATCGGCAGCGTCTCGGGACGTCCCATCGTCACATTCCGATTGTTGACGAACCCTGGGAGTGCTATTCAAGCCTACCGAGTACTCAGCTATAGAGCTACACGGCACTGGCGCATGATCAACGTAACATCTGGAGGGCAGCCCTTTTGAAGAGTAGAGGTCGTGGGACTATACGTCAAGGGCTCGCTAACATATTCCCGAATCAACAAAACCCAGAGACGACATTGTGGCCTGTGTGGGTCAGTTCCGAGAGTCGAGTCTCGACACATTCCTTATACAGCCCACAGTAGGGATGTTCTTTCAGCAACTCGGCGTCAAATTCAAGATGAAAAGCCTATGGCCGGTAGGATGGTTCATTGTGGAAGACGATTATAAGCGCGATAGATCCGGACAGCCGGGATAAAAGACGCCAGCAGGTCACCGCCATCCAGGATATCGGTCCATGATCCACCGTTCGGCACCTCGTCTTCCATTATCTACCTCACTTTGGGCTGAATTCTGCCAGCCATGCGTTCGTTCGCTCTCCGCTTAGTAGCATCCGCTGCTGGCGCCCTCGCCGCCACCATGCAGATCGACGATGCCGGATTCCAGAACCACATGGCCCTAACTTTGTTAGAGGGTCTGTTTGGGATGGAGGGTCAGCAGATGCCGAAGGTTAACGAGCAACAGAACATCGTCGACATGGGCATGTCAAAGTTAGCCAACGTTAAAATGGACACTGCCTCCGCCGATGTTGTATCCAGCACCGGCACATCCGTCCTAGGGTGGCCAACCTGCAAGGACACTCTGGCTTGCAACTTCAACATTCTGCAGAGTGTCTCCCTGTCTGACAGGCTCATCTATCTCGTCACTATCCAGGTCAAGCTTCTCAGCGGACCAAACAAGAGCCAGACGCAGTTCAAGGCCATCGAAGGACTGATGCAATACTTCATCGACAAGAACCTTCCCAATCCCAATATCGCTCCTTCATACGGCTTGGCTGGTGTGCTTGAGGGAATCCAGCGTGGTACGGCCATTGCACTGGGAAAGTCAAATGACACCTTCGGTAATCCTAGCTCGATCCTGTGGGCCAACTTTCTCAGGAAAGTGAGGACTGGCGACTTTAGGGATAGGGCTGCTCACGACGCTACCTAGTCTCAGGCCTTCCAAGTGGGCCTCAACTATGGTATTCAGACTGGTGACCGGCTCACTGGTACAACAGTTGGCGTCAATGATTACGTCGAAATATCTGAGCGCGCCGCTGTCTTCACCATTCTCACTGCTTGGACCATTCTCGCTCAGAACGAAGGCGTCATTGGCCGTGTCTTCAGCCTGTAGGTCCTCCCTTTCCTCTTAACTCTTCCTATCCGGATTACATCCTCTTGTACATCATTTCTTCCCTTAGCGTGTTTGAAACTGACCAGGCCAATACCTCCAAAAGCGCTCCCGGCGTCTTCCTGCCCTTATATCCCTACGGCTTCACAGCCAAAAAGTTCCACTGTATCTTCAACGTTTCTGATCCCAAGCCCCTCTACTGTCTGGTGGATGTCGCCTTCCACGACCGTGCCATTGCAGCCCTCAGAATTGAGACGACCACGTTCCTCAACGACATCAACAACTTGGTCACCATCATACCAGCTTTCATGAGGTGCTATGCGGTTGGGGCGAATATCTAATATTCGGACACGGGGCCTTGTGTCCAACTAGGTCGGTCATGATACTGGGTGATGAGAAGCAGTGGGCGATACTCTGGGCTTGAAACCATTTGGGATGTACCGAACAAAAAAGAGGACAGGGTAGCGGAGGAAGAAGAGGGTTCAAACCCATTGCGAATTATACCATTATCTGGTGGTGTGCTTGTCCCGGCGCCTGTGTCCAAGTTCAATTAGTCCCTTCCCCTCCCCATCACTTCCACCACAGTTTCCGCCATTCCTGTGCATTTTAAATTTTACCCGTCCTTCCATACATTCAATCCATCATAAGTCATCAGTCATGGAAGATCTCCACCAAGCCAACATCCATAGTCGTCGATGGCGATCAAGATTCCCTCCTCGGCCCCAGGGTTGGTATCGTCAACTCAGACGTAACCTGTTGGTTCTGGCCCTATCTCCACTTTCCAATCCAGCTCTTCTACCAAGAATCCAACCTTTGCATCTTCTTCTTGGGATATATCGCTCTCACAACAGCGTGTAGCACAACGCTAACCACCATCAGAATCTCCACCGCTACTAGTCCGATCCATATGAGATTTAGCCGCTGGTTCTCGTCCCCGGCTAGGGCGGCTTGGATGTTGGCTGGGACGGCCGGCATTTTCATGTAGGCGGTCGGGATTTGGACCTTCATTGCGTGGGTGGATGCGAGGTTCGGGCGTGGATGAATGGGATCGGGGGTTCGATGGTTCGGTGGGTGGGAGGTTCTGTTAGGTGGGTGACGCGGGTATGGAAGAGGATGATTGATGGTGGCTGGGTCGCTGTTGAAGGACGCTTGATGGCTTCTGATCTTCGGATGGCCAATCGTCTCAGGATGCCTTTGTTGGTAGTCGTAGGTATAATGAGTGGGTTGAGGAGATCGTGGTAAGTGTGGGTGGCTGGGATCAAGCGGCCAGTGATTAATTGGTGTTCGAGTGTCTCGCCGACGAAGGACTTGCTGGTGAATGGTGGAAGGTTCACTGGTTGACACCAGATGTATTTTCGGTTATAGCGAGCAGTTTGAAGAAGCCCGTGATATGTGTGTGGAGGCTGGAGTCTAGCGGCGATGGCTCAGTGGACTTGGAGGTTGAAGTGCCGTCTTTGAAGTTTTGTTGATATCTGAATCATCGGTCAGCTTCATGTTTCTTCGGCCCATCACCAAAAGCGACGTCATCACAGGGACCACTGCAAGATATGTTGATGTCGAAGCACTTACAGGCAAGAGATTCCTTTAGACCTGATCCATTCAGTGCCCTATAAACTGAGGGTGTATCAACACTCAGTGCCTTGAACAGAACTAACGATATGAAAGTTGCAAGGGAAACCGAGGAAAATCAAGACACTGACAGAACAAAAAGACGAAAGACTCTTTCACCACCCTCCCGGGTCTCCAGTCCAAGCTTTTCACCCTTTTTCAGGTTCTTTTAGCTGACCACGGCACACACACCGACATACACCACGGTGCCCCGACAATGGACGCTAGCACACGTTCCTTTCTTCGTTTCGTTCGCTAGGTCAGTTCGTCAGATGGCGTAGCGTGGCCGTATATGCAAACCACATGGCATGACACCACCCAGCGCTCTGGTTGTTGCCAGTGCAAAACCAGTGCAACTGCAGCAACGCTAGTACGCTACCACGCTAGTGCCAAAAAAAAAAAAGGGTTGCTATTGGGCAGCAAGACTTCCAGTGAGGTTCAAAGGAGTTTTGGTTGGCGGCTTGGAGGATTGGAGGATTGAAGGATTGGACTGAAGGAGGGAAACTGCAAAGAAATGGGGCAGGCCTGGCACGAGACCGAACGTTGGCTGCTTTGATAGCTTTGATAAGGTGTGGTGAGGTGAGGTGCAATGATAGGTGATGAAAGAGGAGAAACGTCTCGAGAACAAGGCCTCTTTGTGCAAAGAGAAGGATGGGATATTTTGGGTGTTTTATCCTTTGCGGACTCGGACGGCAACATGCTATGGTTATGGATATGGCGTTGAATCGGGAACAGGCGAAATTGACACGTTGGCCAAAAAGAAAAGGTCCGATTATATGTACATATCCTGGCCCTGGGTTGTAAGAATGACCCTCCCAGTCCTTACCCGGCCACGGCTATTCGGTGGCGTCTTCTTATTTAATTTGGGAAAAACGTGGGCAGATTTGGCAGATTTGGTAAGATAACCCGGTAACGATTGAACGCCAAGGTTGGTGCTACAAAAGCTGACGGGAGATTGACATATGGATTGTGGAAATAGCCTCAAACGTTCTTTTTCTTCAAGGTCTCCTTCTCCACGGGAAATTAAGGTACCTTAGTATGGAACTCGGCATGAAACAAGTTTCCTACCTTAGAAATGATCAATTTCGATATCCGATCCAGTTCACTCCCAGAGCCCAGTCTCGAGTCCAGTCTTGAGTCCAACCCCCAGTCCAGTCACGAGTCCAACCATGACGCCGATTCCGCAACACCGATAAACCCCCATGTCCCCAACAAAGGACTGCTAAAGCATGATAGTAACTAGTTCACCCTTTCCAGTTCTGTCATCGCCGTTGTGTGCATGTATACCGCAAGTCCCGTCTTGGCGTGGCGCCTTTTGACCTTTGCCACGTGCATTGATGGAGTCTTTCGAGGCTCGGTCTTTGTTCCGAACCCCTGGTCTTTGATGCCCGAGTCAAGGCAAGGAGAGATAAATTAAAGAGACCAAGGCGCCTTGATTTTTGTGAATAAACTCTGGTAGAGAAAGGGATGAGCTGCTTCGGTGTAAGGTAAAATATGTGTAAATTGTGAGTCGTGAAACCTTACCTTCTATTAACGCGGACACTGGTCTAAACCTCCGACCACAGCGTAGGAGTCTCCCTCTTTTCGCAGTATTCTCCGCAAAGCTGGTCAGTCGAGAGGACTGGTCAAGCTGCAAGATCTCGAAATCTGCCAGATAGGACATGGAGAAGAAGGCAGAAGTGTTTGGCACAAAAGGACCCACGGAACGGGCAGGGCAGGCAGTCAGCAATAGAGGTATGTCATCGGTTGATGTTATCCGTTTTGGAGGAAGGAACTCAAAGTCCCTCTTCCTCCCACAATAGATAAGGTAGCTGAGGAGAATATGATCATCAAGTCGTGTTACCTATTCACAGGGAATGGAAGTAAAGTAAGCAAACTTGAAGCAAATGAAAGGGAAGGATGACTCTCCAGGGGCAGGTATCAAAAAGACAAACTCACCTTGAACTCACTTCATTGATCGAGTGTGAGAGAACCCAGCACTCATACCAGTAGTATACCGCAATTTTCTTCTTGTCCCGTCTTCCAGTCTGCCTTCAACCCCTCCACGCGTCTCGTTCTGCCTGGAGTCGTTGTACGAGCTGGTGTACGCCGTCCTCTTCATCGGCATCATCATCTTCGACGCGCTGGGCAAACCCGAGAGATTGCCGGGTGAGAGCGAGGTGAGCGCTGTTGAGCGGGGTAGGGGCCGTGCCTATCGTGGTGGGCGTGGAGGTGATCAAGATGGTGAGGGTGATACGGAGGTGAGGAAGAGGGGAGGAGGACATGGAGGAGCTGGAGCTGGACATCGTTGAGGATGGGAATCAAGATCTCGCCTAGGAAAATGGAATTGCGAAATCTGGGAGGGAAGGAAAGTTGGCACTCCTTGGGGTTAAAATCGGTAAGTGAAATCTCTCTTTCAAAGGTCAGCGTAAGCGTTGATTTTCAATGACAGGCTGGAACTAACTACCTTACCTCGTAGCACTATAGGAACTTCTCTCAGACGACATAAATTCGAAACTGGCGTGCGCTTCCTCTCGTCTGGATGTTCTCGTCGGTGCAAAACTCGTTGAGGTGAAGCTCTGATGCGTGTGATTCTAGGTAGGTTACGTGATGGATAGGTATCGTCGGTATGATAAAGGTAGGTATCCGCCATGCCTTCGAAGGTCTTCCAAGTCGTTCACAACACCTGAGGTCGAGTCCGATATTTGCGAATGATTGAAGTAAGGGAGTCCATCGTTGAGTGAGAGTCGGTGACGTCCAAGAGTAGAGGTGTGATTGTGATTGTTTCCTTCCAATCGTCTCGAAATTGTCTTCGTAGCCGGTCATGAAGCGACTCCCCTCCGTGAAACTCTCATGGGTCCGGCTCGCTCCTTGGGTTTACTCCCATTTGAGGTTCCATGTCGTCCAAATCCGGCCTGTCAACCTCATAACATTCGTCCATTACTGCGCCTGAGATCATATCCATCAAAATCAGTGAAAACCTTGACAACCGATGTCTCTGGCTGGTGATGATAAATCCGCTCGGCAACTTCATCCAACGTTTGGGTACGAGTAGCGATCTCGCAGTGACCACTTCCGACATGAAATGTTCGGTGGGATAGCCAGTGTCGAATCATAAACTCGCCGAAGGTAAGGTCGTCTTCCTCCAGAGTGTCAAGCCATTCGGCTATGGACGTGATGAGGCCCATTCGATATACCTATCTGCTAGGGACGCGAACTTCGAGCACTGTCATAAACCCTCGCTCGCAGACCTACGTACAGTATCGCCTTGCCGTGCTGCGAGTTCGACGGTCTGATACAGCTCCACGTGTTCGCATCGCATCTGTCGTTGAAATCAACACTTGCCTACCTTCTACTTCTTTCAAGGCAAGATGCCTCACTTGAGGATCCGATATGTTTCGTGCTTTAACTCTATCGTATCATCGCTCGTATTTCACTGGTCCTGGAGTGACCTTCTGCGAGTGACAAACACCGTCTGAGCCCGATCTGTGAGTGGAACAATGTGAGCGGTTGATAGAGCAGGCGAAAAGTGAGGATGTGTGAAGGGCAGGCTGTGGGGTAATGTAATAGAAGAGGGACCTGAGGACGGGAGGGATCTGGAAGGGAATCTGGAGAGCAGGGTGCTCAAAGACAGCCGTCAATGGGGCTTCTCATTGTCAAGGTCCAGGCCGGTTGGTTTTCTCATATTCGATACAAGACAAGCATGGGGCTGAGACGTGAAGTCACGCCCAAGTGGGGTTGAGTTTGGGTCCATATCCTCGATTGGGCATGTGCGGGGTTATTCATCTATCCCCTAGATAAGGGAGTCGCCAAGCGGATGCCAAGCAGCGGTAGATGTCGGAAATAATGCCAAGTATTCCAAAAGCGAGGGTTTGGCGGGTATCGATGCAACCAACGAGACAACAAACTCCACGGGAGACCCCAGCTGACGATGGTTCGTCAGATCGCGCGGATATGCGGACGACTCGTAATGCCTTCCTTGTGCGGGCGGACCGGCTCCTTCCATGCCGTACCTTCTGTTGTGGTCCCTTAATTCTTGGCGACGAGTGGTCAACAACTGAAGTCGATAGGAGGCGGTGCCACGAAGATGGAAACAGCAACTTGAGCAAAGCCACGCAGCTTCCTCCGCCTTTCCATGATTCCATTTCAAGAGTCCGGTGGACACTGGCAGCTGAAGCTGGGCAAGCTGGGCAAGCTGGGCAAGTTGGACCCCGCGGCGGCCTCCCAACCCCACTTTCATCCTCAACCTCATCACTCATGGCCTCATTAGCGCTTCCCCTGGCGGCTGTTTGTAGGAGGGGATCTGGAACCAAGAGGATGAGACAGGAGGCCAAGCATGACGCCAAGTGTCCCCTCGATGCCAACACAGACAATCCAGAGAACGGAACCCAGAGAGAGTCGAGTGTGGGGCACTGGGGACAGGTCGTGGACCGCATCATGGCGTGCGGCGGTGGGTTTCATCGCGGGACCTCTTCTGTCATACCCCACGAGGATGAGAAGGCGGGAGAACCCTGATGGGTGATGGCTTGCTGTCACGGTGTGTACATACAAACGGCTGAGGCGGTCAATTGGCCGACCCACGCGGACAAGGAGATCATTCCATCCCCGTCCTCCGTCGTGTATAAGAAGGCGGTTTCCCCTTCTCCCAACTTGCACTTGCTTGTCCGTCTTTCTAAACTTCATCCACAAACTTATACCACCACCACATACCTATTACCACCACCAAACAACCACCATCAACATGTCTTTCCACCTTTCTGCTGAGGATGCTCGCATCGAGTCCCGCGATGGACACACCTACCTCTATGCCCGTCTCCGCCGCGAGGATGGCGAGTGGAACGATGCCCAGTTCAACCTTGACTCCGTCCTCGGAAACAACGATGGTGAGTAGTTCAAGCTATCTTCATTCTTATCAAGCTTCAAGAGCCGGACAGGATGCTAACATGGTTCCTCTTCTCTAGGTCACTTCCAGTGGGGTGGTCAGGACTTCACCGGCTCCGCCCGCAACATCTCTTTCGACCCCAAGGAGGGTGCCGACGACCAGCCCATTCTTCGCGCCGAGCTCGAGGATTGCAACGGCGATTGGCACTCCCGCGACGTCAACCTGACCGAGATCGTTGAGAACATCAACGGCGAGTTCCGGCCCAGTAAGTCTACTTGCCGTCCAGCCAGCACTGAACTTTGAGACATGTAAAGTATTAACAACTTGCTTCCCCCCTACAGGAATCTAAGTGTCTAGGACACACACGCGAAGAGATTCGCGACGGGCGGCGCAAAGGGACTGTCCGGATGACATAGGGATAAATACTTGTAACCATAATCTTTAATGGTACTTTGGGGGACAGGACAGACATTGGACATGATAGCAATGAAAGCCTTGTTCAAACAAAAACACCGACCAACTCGCACAAGCATCGATAGACGTGTCTCTTGTACTGGCTCGACTTGTGGTAACCAGCGGGTAACTAACGCAAGCTGTAGCTTCCACTTGAGCAGCTCATTCAGCTCGTCAGGGTGCTCGACGAGGGGCTCGACCGCAATTTCCCCGTCCCAGTGCAAGTGGATCGTGAATGGAGCCCGACATCGTAAGGGGTGGGGGATCTGGGAAGGGGCTGTGGTGGAGAGATCTCGAGCTTCCCCTGCCAGCTTCGTCAGATGTCAAGAGAGAGAGTCGAGACGACGTTCATCCCATGGCGAGTCAATGGCGATCTCTGATCCCCCTTTTCCGAAGTAGTGAGGTCATGCATAACGAGCTCTTCCGAGCTCTCCTACTATGTACTGATAGTTTCTTGAAGTTGAGAAGCTCCAGCCTGGTTGTCCTTTGACAGGAGCTGTTCATCCCGAGTGGCATATTATGGATCCCTAGACTTGGAAATGAGCTTCGCCCGTGACGTAATCCTGGCAGTTTCGATCATTGGAGCTGTCGAGATCGAAACAAGATACCGTTATAACGATGTAAACACGAGAAAAGACAAACCGGCAACGTCTTTGCTCATCACACGATGGCAACCGAGAGATCCGCTCGAGCTCCTGCAGAGCTTCTTGCTTGCTCTGTCACCTTTCGTCGGATGTCGTTGGTAGCTCATGGAAGCTCAACTGCTCAAGACAGCTTGTCGGCCAGTCACAAGACGCCAATGGAAAAGGGGGTGAAGACTGACGAGGGGCTTAAAGGAGGGGCTGAAGAGGGGTGATGGACAGGAGGGGTTGCTGTTCGAGGGGGTTGATCTTGGCTCACCAGCTAGGGGCTTGTTAGGATGGGCGGGGATAAGTCGCTGGTTCTCCTGGTTCGTTGGACCCTGGGATTTCACGGTGACGGTGAGGTTGGGCCTTGGCTGCTGTGAGGTTGGCGGCAGGCGAAACATGGTGCTTGCCCACCGCGCTAGCATTGCCGCTGCCGACCATCTGAGTGACATGGGGGTTGTCACGTGACAGCGTTAGCAATCTATCAGAGATGAGATAATTGATAAGATAAGGCATCGCAGGGATTGTAGGGCGATATACACAAGAGATTGATTTAAACATGTGTTGGAGTGCTTGTTCGTGTGGGCAGAAAACTGTTGCAGAGGCCTAAGGAGGCCTGGGTATCGTCCCCAACCGCGCTCTCAAGCAGCTATCCGCTTATCCTTTCCATGGAAATGCCCTCCTTCCTCGACAGTGTTCTGCTCCCTCTGTTACGTGCATCGTCGTGATGGCTTCCTTCCATACCGTAATCAGGGTGTGCCTTCTTCCTTTCGTGTGCAGCGGGGCGGAAATAGATGTCACGTACAGGCCTGGCTGGGAAAAGCCCGTGCAGAATCGCACACCATTCTAGTTCCATCATCGAGTCTTCAACTAGGACATCATATATTGGATGCCCTTGGCAATCTGTTAAAGTCAATCTCAACTCTCCAAGACGTACTTATAAAGAAAGGTTGTTCAGTGACCGTTCCTGGTTCGGCCATCATTTCACTATTTTGTAGCGAGCCTGCATTCATGCTCCTCCGTCCAACATCGAGTCACGACCGTATTGCTTCGTATTCTCACCAATTTACATCACAGGATAAAAACAACTCCAAAGTGTAATCCAATCAAACACATTACTTGAGAGGTAGTAAGAAAGTTCCTGAAAACACGCTGTTGTAACTTGCCTGGCGTTCCAAGCGATGGAATCCTTCTTTGCGAATCTCCAATTTTCACATTCGCATCATTTTTCATGAGACGGAAGATGATCAACCCATCGAAGGGAAGAAAAAGACATGTGAGGCTAGGTAACAGAACTAAATAATAACACAGAATTTTCAGAAAAAAAACCGAAAGAAAAAAAGGAAAAATAGGACAGAAAAAGCCGGGAATGAAGGAAAAAGCACAATCCAACCTCCTTCCTCGGGGGATATATCCAACCTTGGCTCCCAAATCACTCGTTTCCCCTCCTCATTACAGTAAACAATACCATCTTCCCTGCGCACCTCAAGCAGCGCTCTTACTCTCTCTCTCTGCTCACCACCATCTGCCAGCCACTCTGGCTCTCCCGCCATATCGTCTTCGTATCCCCCACTCTCGTAGGCCCAATCAATCAACTCCCTCCTCTTTTACCTACTTATGGGATCATCAAATTCTCCTGCATCGTCTTCTCCCCCTTACCCGTATGCTCAAGAGTGACATAAAGGTACCCATTGCCCCAGGCGTACTCTCCTCCACCACTTCTTCCCTTCCACGTACTATAATTCATGATTCACCACCCGTTAGCCCACTATACTTCACGCCTTACCTCGGCATAAGGGAAGGGAAAGAAGGGACGGAATAAAGAAGGCAAAGAAAAACCAACCAATAATCCATAATCAACCCGCCCGCCCTCGCAATATCCGTCCCCTTAACTCCATACTTCTGCCCCGTCACGCTCCTAACATTCAATCTGGCCGTGTTGGACTGGTGTATGATATCCTTCCCTTCGTCCTTGCCAATGTAATACATTTCCGGGTGGTACGCGATCCCGGACACGAGCGTGAAGGTGTCCTCGACCAGGGGCCGCTTGTTTTTGTGGTAGTAGCAGGTTGGTCCGGCTGGTCCGGACTCTCTTTTACCTACAGTGGTATTTCTGGCAGCACCGGGACCGTAGGTGTAATACCAGGGCGGTAATTCATCACCGTCGTCGTCGTCGTCGTACAAGGGGTTGTCATTGTTGTTGTCATCCCGTTTAGTATGTTGACCAGCCTTGTAAGCGGCGATGGCATCTTTGGGGCTCATGGCTTTGCCGTTTCGGGCGTCTTCGACCCATTTCGCAAAGGAGAAGCTTTGCGCTTGGGCTCCGCTGTTGGTTCCCCCCGTGGCGACGCTGGCGGGAGGGTAGTGTTCCCAGGTCCATTCCTCAGCGCCGTTGGGTCCGCTGCCCCTAGGCTCGAGCGTAAGTGCGGCGGCGGTTTTCGATGAGAGGAAGGAGAGGAGGAGAAGAATTGGAGTGATTGACATCGTTGCTTGCTTGGTGTTCGTGTGGGAAGAAGTCTTGATCTTGGTATTGATGAGTGATGATGAGTGTAATCGCAGAGTGTGTCCCAGGCCGCGATTTGTTGTTCAGGCTGGAAACGGGTTGAAAATGTTCACCAAGAAAACGGGTGAAAAGAGAGGAGAGATTCTCAGAGTCAAATCTAGCGATAAATGAAGAATACATGGAGAACATCTCAAATTCCATCGTTACCATTAATAGAGTGTATGTCCATGCCAATGAGCCCCTATTCAGAGTCTATTCAGGCTTTGTCGAACAAAGGGTTTGTTTAAGGACCGGAGTTTGTTTGGTGTCACAACACTGCAACCACGTTGTAAGCTTCAAAGAATCAGTTTAGATACATTCTTGAGACAATAATCGTCACCAGAACCTCAGCGGCAGCGTTCATCCCTCGTGGTCCTTCGCGTCACAAGCACACCAAGTCCTCAGCGGGAAGTCATCTTTCAAGCAGGTTGAGATGTTTGAAGGGGTGCGGTGAAGAATGCTGGGAAGGGTCTGTGGACACGGATGAAGAACGGGAGTTCTGTGCGTGACAGATGGGTAGAATAGTCAAGTCGGGTCATTCAGCGGACAAGTCACAGAGCGGTATGGTTCTGTCCGCGGAAAAGGTATATTCTCCAATATCAGCCGTGAGGAACCATAGAACAACTTGGGTGATGTTGAATGCATAGTATATTTAGCAAGAAGGGAATAATAAACGAGTCTTTCGCTGCCATCTTATATCTGAACTATCTCCAAACCGTCAGTACTTACCAGGGTATCCACATATATCATGCCATTATATATCCAAAAGACCGTATACCGTCGGCCGATGTTCCGCGGTTGTCCAGCTATTACAGTTCTTTCCGGTCATCCACATCGTAGCAACTCCGTATCTCGTAGCATCATCCAACGTTCCAATCGCATACCTCCAACCATGGTCATTTCCCCAGGGGTTGATCACAGCAGATTAAGCCATTGACTTCCCAAGTCCGTTCACCTTATGGGCCTGACATTTAGCTTCTGCCCATTTGCTCCTGCTGTCGCTTCTCTGACTTCGTAAACACCACAGCCGCCGTCTGAATCTCCCAAAAACAGGAATCCACCGTCTGTCGAGAATGACAACTCGGTAACCTTGCTCAATGCCTCCAATTGTTCGTACCCCTGCCTTGGCCCGCTTTCCACGACTCCAGCATCCGGGTCCGGCCAGCGCCACAACTCCGCCCCGGTCATGGCATCTAGGATCACCAGACACCCACGGCCACCCAAATCAATGCCCGTGGCATCGCAATATGCCACGTATCGACAGTCGGGACTAACACATGATATCGCGTTAGGGATACGGAAGGTCTTTGTCGAGGACGCTGAAAAGTCCCATACTAGAACGTGGCGATAGGGAACAGGGACTGGAGCCAGATTGTACCCATTCCCACCACGTGCAGCGGGGACGGGCATGGCGCGGTATGATGCTGGAATCCAGATGGAGACGGCGACGGAGCCGTAAGTTGCTAGACCTGACGGCAAGGCGGTGTCAAGTTCAGTATGCGCCCAGGGTGTCACACACTTGTATGGGGTATGGGAATCATCCGCAGGGTCCCCGACGTCCCAGGCCACGAGAAGCGTTTCCCGCTCGGGAGGAGGATGACCAAGACGAGGCGGTCGTGGTCCAGAAGCGGCGACAAGCAGGGGGCCGGTTGCAGAGAATGCAAGCTCGGGGTACTTGGGAATGACCGGGAGGTTGGCTTTGCGAAGTTCAATGGTACGGCTCTTTGCGAAAGGTTTCTTGCTTTGGGTGACGGAATAAAGATCGATTGTATCGGCGTCGCCTGCGTAGGTAACTAAGGGGCTGAAGCCGGCTTCGTAAACACTGGTCCTGACGGCCGCCCATCGATCTGCTTTATCGATAGCTTGGAGCTTCTTCTTCTTGGCCCAGTCCCATACTTCAAGCGTGTCGCCAAAACCTGTGGCAATGGCAATCATGGTTGCTGGCTCGGAAAGAATGGCGTGACTGCGGACAAAGTATTCGCGCGAACGGGCTTGTGCGGCTGTATAGCACGAGAATTTGATCGTGCTCTGCAAAACCCCACTGCCCACAGACCACACCTTGATGATGTTGTTTCCATGTTTGCTGGCGAGAGTGGCTGAGGTAGTCGAAACGTCGAAGTAGAAAACAGTGGGGTCTTTGGTAGACCTGTCGTTCGAGATCATGTGTTTCCAGGGCACCAGATCGATGGCTGCGGAGCCCGCTCGTGGCCTCGTCTTGGGCTTTGGTCGTTCTTCACTCGGCATGGGGAATTGATGTAGAGGGGGCGAAGGGAAGAGAGGGCTTGGCAACGGTGGTAAGGCATCGTTCGACATGCGGTCCGGACCTGATGACGTAGCCTTTGATGATCTGGAAGCCTGGGAGAGGCGGGAGGCCGAGAAGGAGGAAGCAGCGTCGGAGCCATCGAATGAACCATGAGAAGAGACACGGCGTGAGTTCTTGTTAAGGGGAAGTGGTGGAAGAGGTTTTGTTATCGGAGGAGAGGAGGGAGGATACAGGCTGTAGCTGGCAGCTGACTGCGATGGTCGCCTTGTGTCCGAAGCCCTCGAGTCTTTCCGGAGCGACGAGGATACGCTGTTGGAAGGCGTTCGCACCGAGTGAGCGGACCTTGGGACGTAGACGGGATCATTGTAGTTGGACAGCGGAGTCCAATGTTGACCGAATTCCATCTCCTTGGAGTCGGCAAGGTAGGATGACTGCGACGGGGACGGAGAGAAGCCACCACTGGATGCGACCTTGCGTCGCTGTTCCTGCGGCTCGGTCCAGAATTCATGCCGTTCATGCCGTTCATGTAGTGGGGCGAGTCATGATATCGAGCTGGGGATTTCAGAGAGCCTCCTGTTCCTATGCGATGCAAATGTTCCCTGCACGAAACAACGTGTGTTAGCCCATGTGCAGTCCATGTCGTTTGTGACAAACATCCCCAATGCCCTGTCCGAGACAGTCGACAGGGCCCACCGCTCCGGTTCCCGCACACGTGTCGATCCATATCAAACTCAAATGGATCAGTGATGTATAAAAAAATGCTTGACTTACGCCATCTCCTCGATATCTGCAGCGGTGGTGCGCGTAAGGGAATCCATCGCGCGTACGCACGTTGTCCTTCTTTTGAAGGGCGATGTGGGGGAAGCTATTCAAATTCAATGCGTCGTGGGCTTGAAGGGCCCCAGTCTTAAAAGGTGATCAGCGACGACGACGATCCACTGCCGTTAAAGTCGCTTGGTATGTTGTTCCAATGGGTATAAGAAGACGGTTATCTTGGACCCGGATCGGTCGCGTGAACGGGTAAGACAAAGCAGTTATGGAAGCTGAGAGTCGTGTGCCTAGTGCGACCGCGATGTCCTGGACAAGGAACAACGGCTGACAAGTCGATTAGACCATGGAGGTGGGAGGGGGGTGGGTAAGAGAGAAAACCACTGGAGGCGGCAAGGAAGCAAAAAAGGACTGGTGGACCTGAGTAAGACGGACCGGGCAAGCTGAGGAGGGGAGCGTAAAGACAAAGGGCTAGGGTACGGGCAAGGTATGGGGTGGGCGTGTGTGTGGTCGGCGTGGTAGGGTGGTATTTGGTAGAGCCTGGAGACAAGTGATGTGCAGGGTTCGAGTTTCCCTTACTGCATTGCCTTTGCATATGATCAGAGGGATGTTAGAGGTACAGCAAGTAGAGGTACGGTGGAGGGGTGGCCACTGCGCCCTGCGTTTCCTCTCTTGCTGCGCTTTCATTCCACTTGCCTTTTGCTGCACTCTGCAGTGTACGAGGAGTGCCAGGTATCTTGGGTATTCGGTCCAAATCGGTTCAGGTCATTTGCTCGTTAAGATGAAGGCTAGAAAATTGAAAAGTGCAAATGGGGGGGGCCATCCAAGGTGGAAGTCAGGAAGTCCGGAAGGCGCTATAACAGCGTCGCATGGCATTCCGGGGGATCCATCTCCAACCCAACGCTGAATCCACCCAAATGCTGGGGGATTTATGGGGCCCCCGGGGGGGAGGCGGGACGAGGTCGAAGCGGAGTGGACACCCACTCACTGCTGGTGCCACCTCGGTGCTACAGGTACATCCGCAGTGTAAGAGAGTTCTTTTCTGCAGACGATCCAAGTCTCAAATTGCCTGGGCTCTATCTGCCTTCATTGACACCGAGTACCACCTTGACCGAATGATTTTCAACAACAGAGAAGGCTCGTTGGTCCCTCATTTGGCAGGTAAGGGAACCTCGCTTTCCTTAGACGAGCTCAACAATGCCCAGGGTTGGCGGCTGAGAAGCACGGATAAGCCAATGATGTCCTGTTTTTGGTGTCTGGTCAAGAGACCGCGCCATGGAGCCCCAATGGAGTTTTGCTCATGTTATTAGGTATTTCCCCAGTGCAGTTGCAGGAGCGTTGCAGTGTGCCATCTTATCCCTGTCCTGTTTATTCCCTTTAATTCCCTTGACAACCGAAAACCTGAACAACCCCTCCACCGCAACCCATATCCCATTCATTCATCTCAGCACCGGGTCACGCCCCGTCTCCCGTCTGATGTTTCGCTCTCCGCACGTTTTTCATCGGCTTCAATTCCGCATTCTACCACCTGCCAGTGGGGACCACAACTCGGTTCGTCCTAGACACTCGGCGCAACCTGCGCATGCCTGCGTTAGCGGACGCAAGCACGGGCATCAATGCCCTTTACGAAATGCCCCATCCATTCTCCATGATCCCCAGTCCCGGCGCTGTGGTTGATATTAACCGCTAGACTACATAGTACCTCTTAAGTGTCATTGCCAACCTCTTCTCTTCTTTCTTTCCCCACCCGTCGGGTGTTACCGTTTCTGTTTCTTTGGCCTTTTGTTCCATTTCACACAGAGCTCCCACGGGTTGCTTCACCTCGTTTATCACTTGTTCCTTCAACTCGAGGCCACGTCCCCATGGTTTGTTTTTAACTTGCCAAGTTCCAACGGGAGAGCCAAGAGAGCTAAGATCACGGGTAGTTATCACGCAGTTCCAACAGTACGGATGCAACTCACTATGGTAGTGCGGTTAATACTGGAACAACGACGGCAAACGCACCGGATTCTGTGCAGCCATCGCAAGCCATGGCTGACGCCTCACTGGAAACAAATGCCTAGGGCTGAGCTAGGATAGGATATCTTCCCTCATTCACATCATTTCTGACCGATCATGTCTTTTCACGTCATGTCTCTTGTCGGCACAGCACGCCTCCATCACAGACAGACAGACATGCAGCAACATGGCAGCTTCCGTCAGTCGCTGCCATGAGATATCACTGCCCGCCGTTATTCCCTCCCGCTGTCGCCCGTCTGAATCCCATCTCGGCACCTGTGGCCGCGGCCGCAACCTAGCCTACAGTACCCAGCCAGGAGATCGACAGGCGAACAACCAAGCCTGTACCATAATGCACCCATTGCTTATCAAGGTTCCATTTCGAATCCGTCCCTCTGGTTTCACTGCAGTGCAGTCTGCCAGGCATGCCAGTCACCACAGAAGGAGACGCTCGGGCCCTCGCCCTAGGCCTTACTGCGATTAAACTCCATCGCATTCGCTTCCCTTAACCTTTTGGGACATTTTTGTTTTTTTTACCCCTTGCTCTTGTTTTTCTCAGCGACCCTCCTGAAAAAAGCTTGCTTGACATATGCACCTCCACTTGCACTGAGGGACGGACACTAGCGTCTGCATGTCTTGATGTCGAGTCCCTGGTCCAGTGCCAGCCCTCCATGTGATGCCAGCCAACGTGCGTAATAACGGCCCTCCCCCTGCTGCTGCTCGCCATCGATTGGCCCAATATTTCTTGAGTTCAAGGGGGTTGCTATCAAGAGGACACACAGCTATATACTATTTTTCAGTTTGCTCCTCGTGTTGCCTGAGTTCATATTTCTTTGCGTTATACTGCAGGACAGTAGCACATCAACATTCCCTCCTTTTTCCTCCTATTCTCCTTTTTTCCTGTTCTGTCATTCGTCTTCGATTTGGATTTGATCACGCATCCAAATACGGACATGCCTACATTTGTACTGCCCATTCAGCGCAGAACACAGCATAGAGACAGACATAATCCATCAACCTCGTCTTTGTGTTATCGTAAGCAGGGGATCTGGCTAGGGACATGCATCAAAAACAAAAAGGAAAATATTCCCTTGCCCGGCTGGGGCGATACCAAGAGATGACGAATGCCTCGCTCGCTTGCTACTAACTGCCAAGATGAGCTTGGCTCGGTTGTCTTATCCTTCTCTGGATATCCTCACTTTCTCGCTTCCAGTGGACGATAGACGAGAGGTAGAGAAAGAGATGGAAATGACGGGCATATCCAACAGCTTCAGTGCGGGCATTTCCATTTCGCACTTCTCACACACCTTCTGTCGGCGCTAATAGCAAACGGCGTTACTAAGACCGGTGAGTGGTTCTAGAAGGAAGCCACACAATCTATCCGTCGACATCCACATCCAGCCTCCATTGTTGAGGCATGCTCGGCTTCCCACGTGCTCGGATCGTGGCATGATTTCTGCGTCATCAGGGATTTCCCTCTCTTTGTTCTTGACGGGCCCGAAAGAGGGAGCAAAAATAAGGTATCTCGGGTAGGTAAAAGGAATCAGGGCAGGGGGCCACGAGGGAACAATGGAAAACAAGAGCCAAGAATGTGTCTGGTTACGAAGCGCACCCGTCAGTTTGGTCTGTCCCGGTGCCGTGGGAGCGCTCCCACATCGTCTCCGAAGCTACTTGGGGGTTGTGGTGCGGCCTGGGACTTTTCTTGACCCCCTCTGATACGGAAATCTAGGGATTTACACTCATTACAGGGGGTCACGAGAGTGAGGCCATATTGTGTGTAAATAAAGGGTAAAAGAGAGATTATCTCAGAAGAAAGGCCTGGCTTCCAGCCAGCCGTCTGCACGCAAGTAGATATGCAGCGCAGCGAGCTAGGTGGCCCGAGCGCAGGGCAACGGCTGGGCAAGCACCAAAGTCACCATGGCAGCTCAGCTAATCTGGGCTGTAATGACTAGTCTAAGCTATAATACAGGATATGGCCAACGATACAAGGAATCCAGGGATTCCGGTATCACGCCTATTCCATATGCTTAGTACTTCTAACTGGAAGGTGTGGTTGGCTTTGGTGAACACTTTTCTCCGTACGTATATCGCTTCAGGCGAGTTAGAAGAGCCTCAAGATATAAATTGTGTCTTTACCCTCGGATTCCCAACTGAACCAAACAAGCAAACTTCTGTCCCATTCTCATCGCATTCATTGTATATCCATTCTTCCCCGTTGATTCTTTCATGGGGCTAGTGCCCGCGGCTGAAATGCCTGGCAATCTTGCCAGGCGAGTGCTCTACTCACGCGGCAGGCAACATTGGCCTGTGCGCGCGCACGTCTCTTCTTTAGGACAGCCGGCCAGACTGCCCAGAGGGTGTTCTTTTCTCCCCTTCTCTCTTCGTAGAACCTTATCGATTCTTTTGGCCAGCATCTGTGTCAACTATGCTGTACCCCTTACACCCGCATCTGATCAAACCTGCTTCACTTCGGAACTACAACGGCACCACCAAACATCAATCTGCTTTGTTGGGCGCCTCACGCCACAAATAGGTTGACTTAGGGATTCGCGACATTGCGATGTTCACGTTGAAGAATGTTCCTGTAGCTCGCTACCTTCCGCCTTCTCAAAAGACTAGAACTAGAATGATACGCTCTATTGAATCATAGACTCTAAACATTCAAAGCATCTGTTCTAGATTCAAGAAAATCTTCACCTGTTTGTGATATCCACCACATATGATACCGTGTGAGGAGATCTTTTTATTTGCTGGGGGGGGGGGGGGG